TATTTTATGAGCCACTACTGTTGCTGCGACTAAATCTTGAAAGTTATCATCATTATGAATGACTTTTTGAGAAGTATTTCTGAGATAAGTGTAGAACTGTTTAACATTAACAAGCTCTTTTTGAGAGTGAGGAGCGCATGCGACATACATCCCATCACGGAATCGAAAGATGGGACAATTCAGCTTTTGATTATTTTGAAGATGAAGAATTACAAATCGATCGGTTGGAGTTACCAAAGTTTCGATTTGGTTTTGAGTGGTATAAGGCTCAAGGCTTTTCCCTACATAGGAAAGGCAATGAGCAACTAAAAAAAAAAAAAAAAAAAAATCAAAAAAAAATCTAATCGGCGTCTTTTTATTAAGGCGTAAATAAATTTATCAAATACTTTACCACGAAGACAGAGAGAACGATAGTACTTGCGTGCAGAGTTCTGAAGTTCGTGGGCTAAGCAACCTTGTTCCATTTAACTTTTTTTTAAAAAAGAACGCGTTGAAATTTATTGAAGAGAGGGAGATAGAAGTGGCGAAGCAAAATGTGGGAACAGTAATAATGAAAAAGCCCAAAAAAAAAATTTTTTTTTTTCCACGCACTAAAAACTATGAGGATTGTTTATTGAAAAAGCTATGTAATATTTATACTGAATACTTTATTATAGTATAACGATAAATAAATATACTGATATCAAATTCATCATAATCCCGAATTATCATGACATTGTTACTTTTTAGTGTGAACATTAGTGTAAACATAATAGTAACATATTAGTAAAAAATATTGTGATCATTATATAAATATTTACTAAAAATATATCATCTAACTGTCTTTAGACATTACAAGATTTTGAATTACACAAAAAGTTGTTTACATCTGATTGAATTTAACCTGTCAAATTTATTTTGGTTTTGATAAACCAAAAATGAAAATTCCGCGTTTATTTTTTTTTTTTCTTTTTGTTTGTTCTTTAAAAAAAATTTTTTATTTGATTTTTTTTTTTGGGTAGATTTAATTTATATTTTAGTGCGGAATTTGCCAATTGAATTAATGTAATTAAAAAATTAACGTTATTCCTAAAATGTTATAGTGTTCTAATACTATTCCACTATTTGAACAGAATTGAAAAGTTTTCAAAATGAAAAAGCCCGTAAAGAACAAAACAACTCTCCTCGGTCAAAAGACTGGAAATGAAGTCACATGTAGTTCGAAGAACTCATTGCGAAATAAACACCCTTTGAAGGAAAAGACGGATTCAATGGCTGCAAGACTTTCTATGATAACAAAAGAGTTGGTAAGCTTGATTTATGTCACACACATCAATATTACAAAAAAAAGGCTCCGCTAAACCGATCATGTTGATTTGCCTGATCACTACAGGAAGCTATTCCTGATTTATAAAGTAAATGACATCACTTATGATTGACTCTTCTGATTTAATATATTTATAAAATATCATCAGTCTTTCATCTCTCCTCCAAAAGATTCCCTCGACAAATTGGTCGAAGATCAACAACTTTTGATGATTATGGAAAATGAAATAAGTCAATCACAAAAAGAAAAATCTGCCTTATTACTTCGAATTCGTAGAACTAAAATTGAAATCGAAGAGTTACAAAAAAATATTAATCAGGCACATAAAGAAAATAAACCTTCTTTAACATCCGATCAAGATGCATTAATGTATCCCCTAATATCATTTTAATTACAAATCGTTTAATTTATACTGCATATTAGATCTTAACGTTTGTTAAAATCAATTTTCTAAAGTGACAAATTACTTAGTATAAATGATCAATCACTTTTGGAATCTGTTGGCACTTCCTTACAAGCTGAACCCAATCAGCAACATATGAATAATACCACTACTGATAATACTGATCGAGCAAAGGATGTAAGTTTGTACTGTCTGCTTGATTTAAATAAAGCACTTATGAATGGCTCACAACAATACGTGATTTTTTTTTTTACAATTAGATAGAACGGTTAACAAGTTTTACAAAAATCAACTTCTTGAAAGTTAGTAATAATTTGATCACAGCTGATGAAGGTAAGCAAAAGATCATCAATAGACATATTCACGTTTTGATAGCGCCTGATCTTAAATTTTTTTTTTTTATTTGTTCAGATTGTATTCGTCGTTATAATCACGCAGGAAATTCTTATGGTATCAACTTTTGTATTGAATTTGAGGTAAATGAAACCGATCTTGTTATCAGAAGACTTAAAATCAAAGTAGATTCTGGTGTAAAGCGAGAGATAGGAAAATTTATTGAAAAGTAAGAATTATTTCCTTTTTTTTTAAAGAAAAAATTCAATAAATATTCACATTCTTATATTAATAGTGTCGAATACGATAAAAATCTACTGGTCTTTTTCAAAGGTTTTGTTGAGTATGCGCGGTTGAATCATCAACGTAAATTATTATTTGATAATTTGAAAGGAAAATACCATTCCTTGACTTCGTCAAGTAGTCAGACGCATAATACTTTTACCCAAAATACTTCGCATTTGTGTGTTGATGTGCACCCTTCATTAAGATTCTCAGATAAAAGGTTTGAATGAATTGTTTATCATGCACAATTAAAAAGATGTATTATTATTAATCATATCATTTGTCTTAGTAAAATTGGACCAGAGTTAATCTTGTCATGGAATTTGAGTATTGGTTCATCTGGTCGTGTTTTCCCTGATGTCAAAATGTATGCACGTACTCCACGTCAATGTAAGTATCCATTTCATTATAAATTCATATTCGTTTTCTTTTTAATATTCAATCTTGAATGCAAATTCATTAGGGACATTATTGGATGAAAAACATATAATTGATAAAATACCAGTTAATTTTCAAAATTTGGCCGAAGTTAAAGGAATTCAATCGGCTATTGAAATGATTGTAAAAAGTCTTTTCAAAGTCCCATGAATAATAAATTTAACAATTTTGAACGTGTTTGGCTTTAAAGAAAATAAAATGGGTTGATTGCTAGGAAAATCAGGTTCCGGGAATTTTTTAACGAAATTGAGATTTAAAATGTATTAAGCTCTTAATTTAAGTAAAAAATTTCTCGGAACCTGATTTTCCTAGAAACCCTTCCAAATGATCTATTTGTGCTAATAAGTGTGATCATGTTAATAATATTTAATGATTAAAAAAACCAGTAAATATAAGTAAAATATTTTTAAGAGCGAAGGAAATTTAAAACGTAACGCTAACCAAAAAAAGGAGTGAATTTCATTTGACGAGAAAAAAATTAAAAATGAAAATTATTTTTAGATTTATATATATCTGCAAAATGTCAAAAGAAATTTCCAGGCATGCATATTTGTAAATCTAATTTCCTTTTTCAACAGTATAAAGAGTTATCCCTTCTATATATTACGCTAATGTACAGTGTAGCGAAAGGGACCAAACACGTATCGACTCAAATTTTGAGCGGGCGGACAAACAGAAATATGAAAATTTCCGGAAACTCGCCCAGAAATCTCCGATCCCGCGGATCCGTTTCCATTTTTCATTTATTTAACATTTAGATGGATTTTCCACGAAGTGGAAAATTCCTAATTAATTATTACATTTAGCATTTAGATAGGATTTTCCACGAAGTGGAAAAATCATTACTTTTAGCATTCAGATGGGATTTTTCCACTTCGTGGAAAATCCTTACTAATTATGAAAACCTTATTTTTTTTTCCGTCACGAGACATCGCCCGGGTAGGGTTACTAGTGTCACCTTACATTGCCCGGATATCAGTTTCCGTCACGTTAATCTATTTTAAAAAAACCTGATTTTTTTTTTTTTTATTACAAATAAAATTTCTCTTATTAATTTTTTGATCATTTATCATGGCTTTAGAAAACCAACAGTTACAGGCCGCTATTGAGAGAAACAATATTATAAGCATTAACTATGATACTTTTGAAAACACTGAAGTTATGGCAAGAGGGGCTTTTGGTGAAGTTTCTCGCGCTTATTGGAAAAGTGGTGAAAAAATTGTCGCCTTAAAAAGTCTATATGGCAATACTCAAATGGGAGCCGAAGGGTCTTTTGAAGAATTTTTTAGAGAGGTAAATCATCTTTTCTCTTTTTGTCTTGGAAAATGTAAGGATATTGCGCATAACTATTTTTTTTTCATTTACAATCAATTTATAGCTTCAATTAATTCGTTCAGTTGATTTTCATGATAATATAATAAGATTTTATGGTGTTAGTGAAGGTATTATATTTAATTCATCGTTTTTTTTTTTTACTGCCATATACTTTGTTATTTAGTAATACATATATAATTTTGGGTTTTCTTTTTATTTATTTTTTTTTTTTAAAAAAAAAAGATCCAGCAACGCGGAGATATTTTATGGTGTTAGAATACGCCAATGGCGGGGACCTTCGATCTTACTTACGTAAAAACCATCAATCAATTAATTGGAAAATGAGAATAAATATGGCCAAGCAAATTTCTAGTGGCCTCAAATGCATTCATGAACGTAACATAGTACACAGAGATTTAGTAAGCGAATATAAATTTTTTTTTTCCATCTTGATGATCTCGGTGGCTATAAAGTTTAATTTTGAAAAAGTTCCTAAAATAATGTGTCTTCTTTTCATATAGCACTCAAAGAATATATTGGTGCATGATGGAAAAATGATGATTACAGATTTTGGATTGTCAAAATCATTGGACAATAATGAAACATCCCTCGTGGGTGGTATGGTTGGTTATATTGAACCGCTATGTTTTATAAATTCATCTTATAAAAGAGACAAGGCATCAGATATATATAGCTTAGGTGTGTTGTTGTGGGAGTTATCAAGTGGGAGGCCGCCATTTGACAATATGGCGATTTTAGATATAGCCAGTGCTGTTGTTCAAGGAAAAAGAGAAGCCCCAATTAATGGATCACCACCTGAATATGTAGCGATCTATCAGATGGCTTGGAATAATCAACCAAAAAAACGACCCACGATAAATAAAATTCGTGATGATCTTGACAAATTATCAATACAGTCAACTGAGGATGGAGACAATCTTAATACAAACAATTTCGCTGCATTATCTTTAAATTCACCGGGAAAAAATCATTTAGTAAATTCACCCATCATAGAGAATAAAGTGCTTCCCTCGAATAATTTCGCAGCAAATTTTGGCGTGCAAAGTTCATCTGTACAACGTCAACCAACAATACCTTATGGTGTGGCTGAATCAATGAACCCTAATAAGAAGTTTATAATACGAGATAGTTATGCTCAATCAAACAATGGTAATACTGGACAATTAATGAGCCCACCAAATTCAAATGAAATTCTCACTAAGCAGAATACTATACCACTAGGCGTAGCGGAATCGATGAATCCCAATAAACAAAGTAATGCAAGGTTTAGTTATTCTCAGTCAACTAATCAAAATTCATCAGTTGCACCATCCATTCCTTTTGGAGTTGCTAGTTCTATGAATCCGCTTAAATCAAATACATTAGACACACTTTCGAATTACCTGCCAGCAAATAATACAGCTCCGATTCCAAATTTAATGTTATACGGTACAATTCAACAACCTCAGGTCCATCAAATGCCCCCTAATCAACAACCAAATCAGTATACGCATATGCCGACAGCTAATACGCTACAAAGAAATAATACTGTTAACCAATTCACAAATTTCCCGCCAAACCTTCAAAGGAGCAACACTATAGGTCACACTCCACAGAATGTTGGTGGTATGCCCACTACTATAAATCAGCCTCAATTTAATAAATTACCACTGCCTTCTACCAATAATAATTCTCAAGGATTCCAAGCACCTCCAACACAACCGCAATTTCCTCAACATCAACAACCTCAGCATCCTCAATATCAACAGCCTCAACATCAACAACGATCTCAGCAGCTTCAATACCAACAACCTCAACCACCCCAGCAGCCCCAACAATCACCTCAACAGCCTCAATACCAACAACCTCAACCACCCCAGCAGCCCCAACAATTACCTCAACAGCCTCAATACCAACAACCTCAACAACGACCTCAGCAGCCTCAATATCAACATCCTCAACCACCTCGGCAACCTCAATCATATTCACCTCAGCAGCCTCAATACCAACAACATCAACAACCACCTCAGCAGCCTCAATACCAACAACATCAACAACCACCTCAGCAACCTCAATACCAACAACCTCAACCACCCCAGCAGTCTCAATACCAACAACCTCAACCACCCCAGCAGGCTCAACAACAACGACCTCAGCAGCCTCAATACCAACAGTCTCAATTCCAACAATCTCAACAGCCTCAACAACAATATCCTCAACAACAGCCCTCAAATCAACCTCAACAACGTCTTCAGCAGCCTCAATTCCAACAACCTCAACAACCTCAACAACATCCTCAACAACAGCCCTCACAAAACTATAATAGTATGCAGTACTTTCCACCACGTTCTAATCAATATCTACAAAATCAATCAATGCAATATTCAAATCAATTACAAAATTTTCAAATAGGTAATTCTATTGCCTTACCAATCCGACCACCTACATATAATAATCGTATGTTCACCAATTCTTTATATATTTTATAACTGATAATTTATTTATTACGATATAGATCTACCGAAACAATCTTCACGACCTTCTAATCAGTTTTCTCATCCTCCATCATATATTCAACGCCCAGTAAGTTTATTGGATTATTTTGAAAATTGGTTTCAGCAATTGACTTTTTTTTTTTTAAAAAAAATAGCTTCATCCATCACAAAACCCACACAAATGTACATGTGATGATACGATGACAAAGTATGTCGAAGAATTTCAAAACACTCGTGGCTATAGCAAACCAACTCAATGTCATGCAGGTTACCACGCAGGGATTGGAGACATCGAAGGATTAAGATGGCATTTATTTTATGATAAAAAAGTGGAAGGAACTTATGATTTTAGTGATATGACGGATAAGCTGGTGTTAATTACTGCAAAATTTTGTGGAAGGAAAAGTTTAAATGCTATGTTTCTATGCCTTAAAGAATATGGAGCGAATTTTAATGTTACAACGAAGAAAACCGAAAAAACAGCATTTCATTTATTATTCGATAATTTTAATCTGTGTAATAAAATAACTTATGCTAAGGAAAAACTCAAAAGATATCACAATGTATTTATTAAGGCAGTTAATTTCCTGAAAGAAATGGGATGCAATATTAATGCAAAGGATAAAGATGGATATACAATATTAGCACGTTATCTAGGAGAATTATTTTTACATGAAGAAAGAGTACCAATTATAGAATCATTATTGAATAATGGAGCAGATCCAAATATATCAGTAAGTTTAAATAATTGGGGAGAATTTGATGCAAAAACAGCTTTATTACTTGCAGTGAGAAACAAATGGCCAACTTCTGTATTAGAATTAATCGTCAAACATAAAGTAGATGTTAATGCTATGAATAAAGAAAACAAAAATGCATTATCCATAGCTACTGAAAATAAAGATCATAAAACAATGGCTTGGATGTTGGAACACGCTAATTTTGACCATGAGAGTATTAAAATTGCTAAAAAATTTGCTGGAAATTTTACTACTAAAGAATCTCAATTATTAAAATCTTGGAAAAAAAAGTAAAATATGAGCGAGAGTTCATTTTGATTTTTTATTTGATATTTGTATTTATTTTTTTTATATATTTTTAAAAATTTAATTAGAAGATTTAAATAAATGGATGTGTAAGATAACTTTATATTTTAAATAAAACAAAAATTTTTAAAAATGCTTAATATAGATCAAATTTCTTGTGTACATTATTCTTTTGATGGAATTAAAGGCCTATGTTAATGCCCAACCTGTATTCGGGTTTTGCACTTCAAAATCGACACCGTAACGTTCTAAGGCTCGGATTCCGAAACTTTTTCTGTTCGGATCGATCCGAAAAATAATCTAAGAAGATTCAACTTTATTATTAACTATAATCATTTCAGTCTTTATATTAAGAAAATATATATTAATAGTTTAAATGAAGTAATAATGAATTTTTTTTATTATCTTATACATAATCGTAAAAAATTTTACAATTAATCTTATTGGGAAAATAAATACCAAAATTTCATTATAACCTTTTTCTTGGTTTAAATTTGAAAATAATAATTATAACGAACGCTTAATATAACTATCACAATAAATTATCGTTTAAACAAATTTTTTAAAACATCTAAAAATCCGTTTTTTATCAAATAAATTTAATGGTAATAAGTTTATTATCATTGTTTTAGAATCTAATTCAAGATTTTAAGTAAACAAGAAAATTATGATTTAGAATATAGTAAACAAAATTTGAATTACTTCTTATAGAATTTAATCAACCTACAGAGGGCCGCCAAAAGTCTCCGAACACCATTTTTTAGGTGTGATTTCATGCCGTTAACATCATGTGACTTAATAATACTGCGGTCATATGATGTTTCGGACCTTGTTTACATCCCTATAAGAAATTTACATACGTTAATTATACGTTTTATATACGTTTATAATACGTTTTCATGAATTACGTATTATAATTCCATATATTTTATAAGGAATTATTTTTAGTGAATTTTTAATTTAATAAATATATACG